TGCATTAACACTCACAATATGGCACGACATCACCCATCGTCCATTAACACTCTCCCTTACCATAATGTAATACATAAATCACAACAGGGAGATAGAATAACAAGTACAAACCTTACTTCAACATTTGGTTCCATAATATCAGTCTCAACTTTGAAATAAAAACTCAATTATCATCAGAAAATCCGTAAAGATGATAAGATCGATAAATTGAACAATACTAGTATAACACGTAGCAATTAGGCATAGGAATGAGACAATATAAGAAAAACAGAGAAATATGAAAAAATAGGTAAATTGGCGGTGCATAAGTACTTGTCACCTCACATATACGCCGCTCACATAAATTTCACTTAGCAAGTAATCTAAGATTCCTAATTTCCTCAAGTCAGGGTTAGACCCAACACTTACCTCGCTCCGAAGGCCACTTAATTCTGAATCACAGCTTTTCCTTTGGAATTCACCTCCAAACCACTCGTATCTATTCAGAAATGACTCAATAATATCAAATATTGCTAAAGGAATCAATTATATTGCATAAATTAAATTTTCCAAATTTTCCTCCAAAAAGTCAAAAAATCGACCCCGGGCCTGCTTGGTCAAAACCCGAGGTTCAGACCAAAATCCATTTACCCATTCCCCCCGAGCCCGAATATATAATTGGTTTTGGAATCCGACCTCAAATTGAGGTCTAAATCCCCAAATTCCCAAAATCCCTAGTTTCTACCCTAACACCTAATTCTACCATGAAAACTCTAGATTTTAAGTTGAAAATTCAAGAAATGAAATGGGTAATTCAAAGAAAATGGTTTAGAATCACTTACCAACACTTTGGGGAAGAAATGACTCTTGAAAAATCACCTCACACCGTTTAGTTTTTGAGAAAAATGATTTTTTGGCTAAATCTCGTGTTTGGATTCTATTAAGTGCTGGGCGACAGTGTTCATCGCGTTCGCGAGAGCACCGTCGCGAGAGCGAAGAGTATAGGCTGCCAAGCCTTCGTGTTCGCGAGACAGTGCTCGCGTTCGCATAGGCTACCCTTCCCTGGTCTTCACGTTCGTGAGACAGTGTTCGCGATAAAGAAAAGGCTGACTCCCCCTCCCCAGTGCCTAACACTACGCGTTCGCGATGGACTTGTCGCGTTCGCGAAGGGTAACGCCTCCATCGCTTCGCGTTCGCGACCAAGCCTTCGCGTTCGCGAAGAAGGAATCCCTGCCTCATCAGTTTACTCTTCGCGTTCGCGAGAGGACCTTCGCGAACGCGAAGAAGGACATGCCAGAACCCAGGCTCTACCGAAAAAACCAGATTTCCAAAGTCCAAAATATCCCGTGGCCTATCCGAAACTCACCCGAACCCTCGGGGCTCCAAACCAAACATGCACACAAGTCTAAAAATATCATACGGACCTGCTCGCGCGATCAAATCGCCAAAATAACACCTAGAACTCTAAATTTAGCACCAAATCAAATGAAATTCTCAAGAACACTTTAAAGTTACTATTTTCTCAATGTACTTAGTAAGTAACAAACCTAACCTTAGGTTGAAAGCAGTGACGAGCTTGGCCAACGGTCAGAGTCTAACACAAATAGCCAAGAATAACTCGTAACAATATAACAAAAGCAGCACAAGTAATAACTCAAAGATATGATGCTCGGCTCATTCACAGTTACGGAAAAACGGGCATGCTTTTCAAGTATAATAGTAAAACCCAAATCTATTAAGCTAAAATAGTGATAATATCATTACTATAACAGAGAAAGCAAGTCAGCCGCAGAGACATACCTTGACAAGTAAAGAGCGAAAGCGTGACTTGATCCAACCCACCCAGTCTCCTAACTCATCTTTGTCACAAGCTGAGAGGAAAATTTTGACGAAGAGTCCATATCTTCTTGCATAAGGAAATGGCTCAAAAAGGATATTCCAATCAAAATCTGGCCTCAGCATATCCTGCAGTAATTATATATAGCGAGTGGTGAAGGGCCAAAAAAAAAAGTTGCTCACAACCTTTGGAGTCCCCGAACTCCCTCAAAAGTCAAAAGGACTAAGGATTATCTTGAATATAAGAATTAAGAGGAGAAAAGAACTAAAGAAATAACCAGAACAACATGATATTAGAAATTATCACATACCTTAGTCAGCATATGACCTCTTAGGAATTCGGTCCTGATTTTATAGAATGTACTTCTGGTAATGTTGGAATGACAAAATTCGTATGGGCTACACGGTAACTGGATTGGCATCCACGACACCTTATCAGTGGGGATGAATGGCCGAGCTATAGTCTCTTGCAAAATTACAGGAGTTGGCCAAGGCCATAAGCCAAATGTCTTGAAGAAAAGTAAAATGAGTGCGCTTAAGCTGGCGGATGGATGCCTTTGGCAGATAAACGCTGAAAGCACAGCCAAGTGAACTCCTCCAAAGAATCCAAGCAACTGAAGGTTATCGGATGATTGGATTTGATTTGTGGCCGGGAAAAGATAATGTTAGCATAAGTATAAAAGCAGAGAAGCAGGGCACCGAGTCATGAATCTTACATTTCCATAAACTCCTCGTCTTTTGGCCCAAAATTTGATGCAACGCAGTACTGCTTGGAATATCTGTAGCATATTAACCAAGAATGTTATAACGGCAACTCTCACGCTAAGTCAAATTAAATGATTCCTATCAATCACATAATGTCAAACCAAACAATTCCTATCAACTACTACAATACCTGCAAAAAGAAATTTCTCTTGCTTATACCAGATATCGGAAAGTTGATGCACGATTACTTTCGGCAATTTCATTCTTCAGTAAACAAAAATTTTTGACCCATTATCAAACACAGTTCAGATTCTACCTAACCAAAATTTCTAGCTTTTTTTAAAACTTAAGTGAAGTATGGTTTAAAGAGAAACTGCAAACAAAATTAAGAAAAGGTATCATTTTCTTATGCCTACTGCCAAGCCAACGGCTCTAGACAGACCAAGTTTATATGACGAACTCAACTTTCAAGCAACTCTACAAACTAAAAGAGTGACAAGCTGACACCATTACTTGCCTCTATGTTTGGCATTCTATAGGGAACATTGATGTTTTCATTTTTGAGTAAATTTCAGTTAATCCTCTAAACCTTATGAATTGTTACCTCTCTGTATTATCTGTCTTTTAAGATTTTTATAGGCTCCTAAGAAATATATTTAATATCCTTAATCACTAGAGTGTTTGCCTAAATTATCTTTGGTCTATTTTTAAACGTCTCACTTAATTAACGCTTCACTAATTAGAAAGTAAGAGCGGATTTGAAAACAAAAAGTAGGTAATAAATGACATCATTAAATATTTTGAAATAAATTTAGCTAACTAATATTTGGGACTACGAGAGTAATATATACTAATGCACTACTTTTTTATAGTAAACAATACTCTCTTCACCTTTAAATGAAATAGACTCCTTTGGTTAAAGATTTTCTGTAACTTTTAAGGCACGTTAAGAGCCCGTTTGGCCAAGCTGTCAAAAATTTGCTTATTTTGAAAAACGTTTTTATTCAAAAGTGCTTTTTAAAAAAATATTTTTGGAAAATAAACAGATTGTGTTTGGCCGATTCGTTTGAGTAGTGCTTTTTGCAAGCTCATTGTGTTTGACCAATCTTTTAAAAAAGCACTTTTAAGTATCAAATTACCAAAAGGGACAATAAAGGTTCAATTTGCGATTAGTATTATTTAGAAAAGAAAAATAAATTCAAACATTTATTAAAAAAGAATTCAATTAAAATATAAAACGTAAAGTAAAAATATAAATTAAAAATTCTAATTAATATAAAATATAGTTATTCCAAAGCAATAATATTGAGTGTTTGGTATTACTTATGATTTATATGATAATTTAAATATGTCAAAATATATCATTCAATATAAATTTAAAATCTACTCTTAGGAATAGGAGAAAGAGAATAAAAATATAATCAAAATAAAAAAGAGAATAAATGTATAGTAGAAATAAAAAGAAAAAGGAAAAGGAAAAGGAAAAGGAAAAGGAAAAGAAAAATTAAATTAATGAGGGATAATTTGGAAAATATAAATTTTGTTGCAAGGTTATTTTTGTCTGAATAATTAATTTTCTGCTTCTACTTTTTGGAAGAAGATAGAATTTGTAGCTTCTCTCCAAAAACAGAAAAACAACTTCTGCTGCTGCTCAAAAGTGCTTTTTTCATTTTGGGCAACGCCTTAAAATTTTCAAAAAGTACTTTTTTGATCTTAGAATCTTGGCCAAACATGAAAAATATGTTCTATATATTTTAGCTTTTATTATAGCTTTTATTATAATTATTTCTTAATTCTTACTTTCAACAAATTATACATGTGAAATCTCTATGAAGAACTATTTGAGACGGTAAAAAAATCATGAAAAAACTTTGCTACAAAAGACTACTTAGTTGCCTGATACAATTCTATTATTGAAACTATACATGTAACACCTTCAAAAGAAAGGGCAAGTTGTAGCAAATTCTTAAGGTTCGAATTTCTAGCCAGAAAATCACATTAATAAAAGAACTGATATGGAGATTTGAAAGGAAGCTAACGGAGAGACTGAGGTACAGAGTTTTAATTTTTATTCGTTATTGGGAAACTTGAAGTGCTTTTTCCTCTAGTTAAAAAGATAAATTTTGCCTCCATATTATATAAAGTATAGTAAAAGATATTTTGACCTTTTCTTTTTTATAGCTATTGTGATCTTTTGAAAACTTCATTAACAACTCTCTCATTTTTTTCTGTTGACTTTTACCGAAAAGGTTTTACCTCACATTCATTAGGTAACTAAAAAGAGTATATTCTACAAAAAAGTTATGAGTTGACTAAAATTTCTATTTATTTGCTTACCAAATATTTTAAATTGTTCAGAGCAATCCATGAATTACGTGAATCCTCCTTGGTTCCTTTACCATAACACTTTTGGCCATCCAAGGGGACCACCATCTTTTTTGTGGTTATATTTTAAAAAGCAGAAATCTATACTTGGGTAATTAATCTGTTCTCTCAATCACATAATATATCTATCTATATTTATATTTATATTTATAATAATATCTTAAAAACAAGAAACCTCTTAGTGAAATATCATTCATTTTTTCATCCTTTAATAAAAATAGATTTCGTACAAGGTAAAATTGTCATTGTCATCTTATTATTATTTTAATATTTCAGACTTTTAAATTAACTAAAATTTTGACTGTTTAATCTTTCTTTATTTGAATTATATAAGAACGTCTAATATTTAAGAATCCAAATCTCTCAATAACTATAATATTCTTAACATACTATAGAAAAAGAAAACAAACATGGGCGTTCATGACTTCTTAAAATTTAGAAGTGTTTGTTTTATAATAAAAAAAGGATTATTCAGAGAGAAATAAATAACTCCTACCTTTGTATCTTTCTAATAATAGAAAATTAATAATCTGCGCATCGAAGTTAGCCACGAAACATCTTCTTGTCGCTATATAATTAGATTAAAATAATATATAAAAAGTTATTTGCACTTAACTAAACATTATTTTTCTTTCCGTTTATTAAAGTGTCCTAGTATTATTTCAGTTTGAATCAGAAATTTAAAAGGGGGAAGCATGAGGCGAGGCGTTTCACTTAGCGTCGCGCCCAATTTCTCGCGAAAACAGGTTTCGACATGTGATAACTCTTTTAAATGGGATAAAAAGAGAGGAGTCGTCACCTAATGACTTTTAAGGTGCGTTAGGACATTTATTTGTAAATAACTCCGGTTAGAACTAGTCTGTGTCACCAAAGCGAGGGTAAGAGTTCAAAATACTTCGAAGAGAAGACGTTACGCAATAACCTTGTCTCATCTAGTACAAGATGCTCAGCCAACATGTCATATCAAATACCATCAAAAACCTCATACGACACGACCCGTGCACCAACAACAACCGCTCAAGCATGATCACTATTGGGAATGGAACCCAAGTATGAGAACTATTCAGCAAGTGTAGCAGATATAACAACAAAAGCATAATGCTATGGTCTCATCCGACAAAGGAGAAGCAAAACACACGAAATAGACTTAAGGAAACGCACCCTTCACAACTGCATTGTAGCGTGCAATCCAATCCACACAGATTCCCGTGCCAACATGCCACCCGATCCACACATGATACCCGTGGCGACATGCCACCCGATTCGCAACAATCTCATCAATAACCAATGGATCATAATTCTCATACTCTCAAACACATGTGTATCAACAACAAGCACGTAAAGTGCGTAAACATAACCATGGGGAGATATATATCATAAAGCACTACGAAAATGCAAGCACATCTACAGTGCAATAAAAAATCAACATCTCAAGAGCCATTTCGCTCATATATCACCACAAGGCCTAAATAGGATCACAACATGCATTTGAATAGTAGAATCGTCTCACAACATATCATAGCATGAAGTAATAATATATGAAATAGATCAGGGCATGAATAACATCCATTATTCCCGATGACATACCCATAGAAGATGTTGTGTTGAATAAGCAAATCCAATCCAGTGTAGAACACACCTCCTCATTAGGCCTACCAATATGCCTCCAAATAGATTCAGATCATTCCAAAATAGGTCAATAGCCTTCCAAAAATCTAATATGACTCTACCCATGACACATACAATCAACTGTCAAATCCTGAACACACTCCCATAGATCACAACCAAAGAAATAGTCTGCCTCTTAGAAATAGAATCTCCAAACTGCGAGAGTACCAGAATCTTCATACCCGAGCTCAACCTTTCTCACTTAAATGGCTGACATGTCACACATACACAATCACATCATAAGAATTACTCCATAAATCTCTCGCATCAAGTAGAAAATCGGAACACCAGCAATTATTGGCATGCGATTTTTGTAGAACTACTCAAACATCCGCAAAATAATACACAATGCATCTTCTACACAACACACTCTTCTTAGGCGATACAAGATAGTGCTAGCATACTCTTAAACATCTGAAATCTCTCATATTGTCTAGAACTCATGACATTCTTTTCAAAACGGAACGACAACCTTGTCCATTCAATCCTAATTCCACATAGCTCACCGCATCTATCATGCTATTATGCGAAAATACGAGGACCCCATTATCAACTTGAATCATGGATAGGATACACACTAATCGCAAATCATGGTCAAAATCATCGCAAACTCTTTGGAATATGTATGCATATAACCAAGCCATCAGAACTGAATCCCTCTAAATCAACCAAGTCCTGCAGATTGCCAAACCTCAATAAGTCTTTCCACCAAAGCACCTGCAAAGCTTTAACATATCGAAGGAACCGATTATTTCCATTATCATGCTGATCCAAACTGCTGCTATACTGACTCAACTTCTTCAGATTACTCATGACCCGCCTTCAAGGCAATATCACTCAATCCTAGTATAGTATGGACCTCACAAAGCTCATCCCAAGTGATCCCAACATGAAATCATATCGTACTGAGACCTATAAGCTACTTTATTCCTTCTCATATACATAATAGTACCTCAATCCGAAATGCCCGCTCTAAGAGACCTTATATGAATCTGAACCTCCTCTGATTACTCATGACCCGCCTTCAAGGCAACACCACTCATTG